CCCTTGGCCTCCTAGGCAGCCCAGACACCACCGCCAGCTCCGCGACGTGCCCGCCCGCCCTGCTCTGCCGCCCCTTTGGGCGCCCACTGTATCCTGCAGCTCTCTCTGCAGCCCCGAATCCCAAGCCTGGCCTGGAACCAACCGCAGCCCTGCCACCCTGGCCCGCCCGGCGGGGTTTCCTTTCTGGTGTCCGGGAGCCGAGCCCGGAGACTCCCAGACCCGCAGGCATTGCACAACTCCCCTTCAAGCCGTGGTTGCTAGCTCCTCTGGGCTTTTCCAGTGGGAGGGACCCTGGCCCTTTCCCACCTCTCATCTGATTTTGGGGGTCTTTTGCATCCTCAACTCTGGGCTGTGCTCGGGGTGTTCACGTGTGGCCCTGGCTCCGTCCGGGCAGTGCCCTTCTGTCGTCCTCCTGCCAACCCCCCCTTCACCCTTTTTTGCTCTTGCCCCAAAGGCCGGTTTCGTGTGCCCTGTCTCACCCTGTGGACCGTTCCTTTACATCCATCTGTGGTGGACTCAGAGCTCCTCCTCGTTCTAGGAGGAAGGCGAGGGCCAGGGATAGCTCTTCTTTTAGGGAAAGGTGATTTTCTCATAGTTCTGTGGGGGTCAGGAGAGAGGATGGGTTCCTGCTTGGGACAGCTGGGGCAGGCCTCATAGAACAGGAAGTTTTAGGAAGTCCAAATGGGGTCAGAATCTAGGGGGGCCTGGGAAGAACTCCCTACTCCTCACAGAGAGAGAAAATCTGATATTCAAAAGTGGGGAGAACTGGCAAAAACTGAGTATAGAGCTTGCCATGTGTCAAGGGTCCGATACGTGAGTGACAGTCCATCACTGTCACTGTGGTCTCCTCCAGTAGTGCCTTGTCCTTAATTCTGGGCTGGGTTGCTTATCTGTCTTCTCAGAAATGGGTTAGGAAGCTGTAACCATCTATAAACTGCCTTGGAGATGGAGGATTCCTGGTGTGGCTAATTTCCTCTTCCATGTCCCTCTGTTTCTGAGTTCCCTGTCTCTTTTCTAAGGATGACAAGGGCCCTGCTTGGCCAGTGAAGCTGCCTTCAAGCTGGGGACATTCTTGCGGTGGTCGATTCAGACTTGGAGTGGTGCACGTGCCCTTGGCTGGGCTTCGGGGGTCTGTGGGAAGTAACCCGGAGACGAGGACTGGGGTCTGCAGGCCTGCTTTTAGTAGCACTGCATGACTCCTTCCTCCCACCCCCATGGCTCTTGTGGGTGTATTGGTCAGGGTTTTGGCAAGCCAGGGTCCCCCCTGTGTGGCAGTCCCTGCTCTGTCACTAGTCTGACGAAATAAGAAACTGACTGCAGCCTCTGTTTCCCCATCATTAAAGAGGATTCGTAAAACCTGTCTTCCTCACTGGGTTACTATAAGGTTTCACTGAGATCACGTAAGCAGCAAAAGCCAGGTGGATTTTACCCATGTGAAAGCAAGTGGCTTGCCCCGAAGCTCTGTTATTGTTATTGGAGTAATAGTTTAGCAGAATAGGAGATAATTTGGTCCAGCCAATACCCTCAGTATCTCCTTGCTGTTCTCCCTTCTGAAAGGCCTCCCAGTGTCTTGTCACCAGTCTTGGATGGTGCAGTTGGAAAGAAACCTGTGACAGCTGTAGACCTCTTAACCACGTGCTCTGCAGCCAGCGAAGTCTCTCGGTAGCCTGGTGGGTCTCTCTGCAGCGTTTCTGTCGCTCCTTGAGGACAGTGGCTCTCCAAAAGAGCTGCCTCGTATTGGAGCACGGTACCTCCTTCCCTTGCCACCTCTGGTCTGGTGGAAAGTCCTATGTGTTAATCCCGGCCGTCTCTGGGAGGTGAGAAGTACTAGGAGCCCTCACGCCCAGTCCAAGACAGAAGAGGAAGGCCTAGGGTGAGAAAAAAACAGCGAAATAAACTGCCCTGCCCTCCTCCCCCTCTTGAGATTGGACTGGGGAGTGTGGGCAGGGCTATGGCTGAAATGCCTGTCGGGCCCCCCTTCCCACCACCCCTTCCCATAGAACCTTAGCTGTGGGGGTGTCTGGGCATTCAGGACAGGTTGTCTCCTCATAAAGGTGCACTGGAGGTGCCTTGTGCATCGGTGTGAGCTGCTCTGGGAGCAGGAGGGCTGGCCCCAAGCCCCGCTTATGAAGCACGTGTGTTCTGCGGTGCTAGGCACATAGTAGGTTCTCATGGTCTAGCTGTCAACTGAGATAGGTATCCGGAAGAGGGAGACTCAGATTTCTGGAACTCTGCTCTCCCTCCCAGGTGAGAGTGGAAACAGCTCCGTTACTTTTAGGGAAACGTGTGGGCATCCTCACCGTTGGGGTAAACCAGCAAGGAACTCACTAGCTGTTTCTCGGGGTCATCTGGGTTCCCCCTGGGGTGTGGTGTGTATGTGTGTGTAGGTAGGGATACATCTGGCATGGTGGGTGGGGGGCAGCTTAACACAACAGGCCTTTTCATAGAAGCAAGGACGGAGGAGCTCGGAAGCGGAGGGGGAGACAGAGAGAGCGGACCGCAGGCTCCCGGGTTTGTAATTTGGGCCAGGCT